CTATAGATCACAATGCTTTGTGATGCTAAAATTCTTATACACAAATGGTCAAATTCTGAAGAAAAGGCAGGACAGTTAAATTTAGAAGATTGAAATTTTCAGTTAAGTAAATCCCATGAGGAATAATTCATTAAATATTCATGAAAAGTTAGTATAATTCTATCTCAATTTGAAAACATAATTTGATCAAATAAAATGATTTTACTTCATTGGAATGTTTTGCCATATATGGCATTTCTTTACACATACATATCTATTTATTCTGTTGTGAAAAACAATACAGAATTTATGAAATTGTTATTATGCATGTTGCATACACCAATTTATATAAAATGTTAAATAATTTTAATGCTCTTTTATTCTTGTTTTTCTACTTTATTGTTTTGAATGTATTCTCATATTATAACTTCCCAAAGCATTTAATTCTATGTGTGATTTGGAATGTTCAATGTATGATCGAATGTTGTAATTGTTGTCTGTTTAAAGAGAAAACTCTGGCATTTAGTCCATCTATTCATTCTTCCTTTCATATTCTACATTTTTGCTCTACAAAGTGTGTAGCATTGTGCTTAGGCCTCAGATTGTCAAATAGATACGCTACTCTGTAGTCATGGGAGACACAGCTGCACACAGGACTAATCTACTGTCTATATTTGAGCAAGGTGGACATTGTAAAATTTGAAAACATGTTTCACATCATAACTTGACTAACTAGTCTGTGACACTGAGATTCTGTTTGATATCAAACCCTATTTCATAAAGGTACATTACTGGAACTAGACACAAAATGTACATGTTATATTCTATAAATATTGACTGCTTTTGAGATGATTATATCATGAAATCTCAGAGAAATAGAAATATTAGAAAGTCTGTGAGTATTTTAGAAAGTATCTTTTTTTGTGGTCAATGTTCATTTTTCTTCAATATAAATTGGTTACATTTGCCTGCGTGTATGTATATGTGCTAGATATTCCTCTTGCTAGCAGTATTCAGAAGAGATCACTGTATTTTAAAGAACTTGTTTTAACATTCTATTGTGTAGTCCCTTGTGGGTGCTGAGACACAAGTATTTTAATAGGCGAATTTAAAAAATATTATACAAATCAATCTGCACTCAAAATTTTCGAATATAGTGATGTTAGCAAATCTTCCATTTGCTATTAAGATCTCAGTAAACCACAGAAAATTCATGAAGATGAGAACCTTTCTAAATGTGAACATTATAGCAAGTCATTGTATAGATTGTCTATGGAAGAGTAGCAATTCCTGTCTTCAGACACATCTCCTTAAAAGTATATCTTAATTATATTTTTTATAACAAAGAAAATCATTTTGGTCCAGTAACAAATAATTAGTTTTCTGTTACAGGATGTGATAACCTTTAAGGATGTGGCTGTGGACTTCTCACAGGAGGAATGGGAATGTCTCAGTTTTGCTCAGAGGACATTGTACATGGATGTGATGTTGGAGAATTACAACAATCTATTGTTTGTGGGTAAGTATGCACCTCTTGTTGAATCCTGAATCTTTCTTTGAATTTTCCTACATTGTGTTTATGTAAACTCTCTGAAAAATCCAGAAATCCCCAAATGAGGGAAATTCTGTTAAAAATCATTACTATTTCATTGTGTTTCCTTTACATTTCTCTGCTTTCTTTGGAAAGTAACCAGTGCTATATTCTCTGAGATCTCCTCCTACCTGTCATTTAGTTTCACTCAAGAGTTTCTTTTTTGTTTGTTTGTTTGTTTGTTTTTCGAGACAGGGTTTCTCTGTATAGCCCTGGCTGTCCTGGAACTCACTCTGTAGACCAGGCTAGACTTGAACTCAGAAATCCGCCTGCCTCTGCCTCCCAAGTGCTTGGATTAAAGGTGTGTGCCACCACTGCCTGGCTCCAAGAGTTTCAAGTACAAAAAAACTAAATATTCAGAACAAGTAATTATATTTCTATGCATATAATAGTTGGGATATATTAATCTTATAGTTGCTTTAAAATGTTTCCTTATTTATAAATTTAAAAAATGCATAAAGTTTCAAGTTGATATAGAGCTGTTGGTTCAAATACATTTTTAATTTAGTTTTGACATTTGTTCTCTGTGTTTAGTTCTGGGACAACTTTATGTTTATTCTGGCATCTTGGACGTTCAAACAAACCTATTTAGTGGTTTCTATGACAATGTCAGTTATATCATAAATTTCTATCTGAACAAAGGTACACAATGTCACTCTGAATCGAATTGTAAACATAAAATTAGAGATATATTGGTCAGAAAGCTACTTTCTGAAATTTCATAAAAGATTGATCACTTACTTATCCTATGTTTTGCAAAGTTAACTTTTCTTTTGTTTTCTCTTTTTATTGGTTCTTTTATTTATTTACATTTCAAATTGTATTCTCTTTCCTGTTTCCCTATCTACAAATACTCTATCCCAAGGCCCACCCTACTTCTACAAGAGTGCTAACCACTCCATCCTTCCTGCCCTAGGATTTTTTTTTTTATCCTAGGGCATCATTCCTTCACAGGACCAATGGCCTCCTCTCCCACTGCTTCCAGATAAGGCAATCCTCTACTCCATGTATACTCTTCGGTTAGAGGTTTACGCCTTGGAGGCTCTGCTGAGTCTGGCTGGTTGATTTTGTTCTTCTTTCCATGGGTTTCCAACCCCCTTCTGCTACTTCAGTCCTTCCCATAAATCCGCAATTGTAGTACTCATACTCAATCCGATGGTTGGCTGTAAGCATACACATCTTTATTGTTCAGGATCTGGCAGAGCTTCTCAGGAGACAAAAATATCAGGCTCCTGTAAGCAAGCATTTTATGACATCAGCAATACAGTCAGTGTATAGTGTCTCCATATGGAATGGATCTCCTTGGTTGGGCAGTCTCTGGATAACCTTTCCTTTAGTCTCTTCTTCACCCTTTGTACCTGTATTTCCTCTTCTGGGTTAATAGTTTTGAGATGGGTAGATGGTACAATTTTAAAATAAGATGTAGAAGGCTATTATCCTTTGCTGTCATTTGATATAGATCAGATTTAAGGTTCTTCTGAGGATACATGTAATGATTTAAAAAAGAAAAAAACATCTATTGAGACCACAAGTCCATGATAATGTATATTTTACCTAAAACTTCAGCAAACATTGGTAGTTGAATCACTTACTATTCATTTAAATAACCCTTGTCATCCCTAATTGACCTTTTTTCAGAAAATCATGCTATATGTGGAAAGTATGGAAAGGACTTGATTCAAGGCACACATCACATTGCGCATGAGCATGAAAATATCCAAAAGAAGTCTTTTAAGTATAATGAGCTTAGCAATATTTTTCATGAATCTACCAAAACTACACCATATAAAACTATCCACAGTGATGCTTCTCTTCAATCCTCAAACCTAAAAAGACATAAAACTGAAAACACTAAAGAAGTTTGTGTAAACTGTCTAAATGTGTGTTCTATCGTTAGACTCAATCAAGGAATCCATGAAGACAACAAAGAAGATGATAGAAATAAAGAATTTGATAAGGTTTCTGTTTCTAAACGTAAACTCGAGCTGAAGCAAAACAATACAGATGTGAACACTTACAAGTGCAGTGAATTAGACAAATGCTTTATACAGAGAAACAATCTTCAAAGTCAGCAGAGAATTTATTCAGGAAAGAAACCTCACAAATGTAGTAAATGTGACAAATGCTTTACCCAAAAATCCAGTCTTAGTATTCATCAGAGAATTCATACAGGAAAGAAACCTTACAAATGTGGTGAATGTGACAAATGTTTTTCCAGACAATCCCATCTTAGTATTCATCAGAGAACTCATACAGGAGAGAAACCTTACAAATGCAGTGAATATGACAAATGCTTTACTGACAAAAGTAATCTGAGTGTTCATCAGAAAATTCATGCAGGAGAAAAACCTTATAAATGCAGTGAATGTGACAAATGCTTTTCCAGACAATCCCATCTTAGTACTCATCGGAGAATTCATACAGGAGAGAAACTTTATAGGTGCAGTAAATGTGACAAATGCTTTACCAAGAAGTTTAGTTTGAGAAGGCATCAGAGAATTCATACAGGAGAGAAACCTTACAAATGTAGT